TTCCCCAATGCAGCCCTCAGATGGTCGGAAGGCGATGTGTGGACCCTGGACCTGGATTTGCCAGCTGGAAAGCACGAGTACAAGCTGGTGATCCACAACGAGAGTGCAGATGTGGCGTACTGGGAGCAGGGGAACAACCGCACCTTCACGGTGTCCGAGCAGTGTGATGCGCCCCTCGTCCTTGAGTTCAATTCCGTGGAAGTCATCACGGAGACCGCCGATGAGCTGAGTGAGTCGAGGCTGCGGCCAGCGTGTCCTGGCATGACCCTTCCTTCCGCTGCGCGTCCGTGCAATGCTTCAGCCACGGGGCTGCATGGATGTGTGAAGCGACTGCTCCAGATCGAGTCCAAGGGGTGTCTTGAGCTCTCGAGCCTTGAGCCAATCAAGCTCCAGTTGACCCATCAAACCCCCACCAAGCCCCCTCCATTCACCTCCCCTCTCTCCCCTTCAGACGCCGTCTCTGACTCGCAGCTCAGCGCTGACGAGGCCAACCCCCCGACGGCTGCTGCCGAGGAGCCCACAGCGGCCAAGGCAGGGTCTGCTGCCCCCCCAGCTGCAGAGGAAGCCAGCGAGGCAGCCATCGATGCCCCTGTCTCGTCTCCTGCTCTGGAGAAGGAGGCCGAGGCGCCGTCGGCAGCTGCCGCTGCGGTTTCTTCTTCGACGAAGAAGGAGGAGGCCGGTGCGCCTTCCAGCTCGTCGGGTGCCGGGGCTTCATCCAGCTCTGAGCCATCGCAGACGCTCTCCGCGAGCAAGGCCGAGCCCGCTGCCGCGCAAAAGGAGGCCGCCAAGCATGCGGCCGTGGACCCCGCCGCGGACGCCTTCAACCCCGCGCCCACCCCGACCACCGCCGCAAGTGAGAAGGAGGAGGCCGCCGCCACCGACGCAGCTGCGAAGAAGCTGGAGTCCCCGGCCGCGAAGCCAGAGAATCTGGGCCAGCGGGTAAACAAGTTCTTTCAAAGGTGCCGCAGTATGCCCTTGTATGCCCTGCCACGCCCCTTCCTATGGGCGCTGGGGAGTCTCTGTGGCGCCTCTCTGGCCCTCGGGAAGGCTGTGCTGCTCCGCCCACCATCAAGCACCCACACCTTTTCCAAGCCGAGGATGGTTGCGCCGCCGCAGGCCCTCCACGCCCAGAGGAAGGCCCGGCACACGACTCTTCACCAACCTACCCTCTCTGCCGCCTTGCGCAGACTGCTGGAGTGAAGAAGAAGGGGGCAAAGAAGGCGACCCGCGCCCAGAAGGGCAAGTAGGATGACCAACCAGCGACGAGGCGTCTGAGGCTGCATCTCTGACATCGTGGGGATGAGATGCTGCTCTCGAGGGGGATCGCCATGGATCCCACATGGCTGGTCGCGCCCAAGGTCCTGTTCAGCGCGAATCCGGCCCCAGGATTTGACTGACGTGTCTCCTAGAATACCTGCTGATCCATTCTACTCTTTCTCGTTCACATGTCGCGAGCAGACCCAAAGACCGCCTGCATGGGGTCCGAGCTGTGTTTCTCCCGCTGATTGGTGACAGTCCTGCTCAGTGAATGTGCCCAGCTTTAAGATCTCTGCCTGCCATATGGAGTGTAATGTACGCGACGGAGCATGTTGTCCGGGCGGCGCATACCACCAACATGGTGTCACCCAAGCGGAATCCATGATCATGAAGCATCTCTGCGATAACGGGCAGTCTCCGACACCCGGACCATGGCGTCCAGTCGGCCAGTGTAACAGCTTCGTTACGGACCGATCAATCTTAGAGTACCTGTCATGTCCGGTTCGAATCTGGGCAGGTGAATCTGCCGCTGCAAGTACTGGCAATCAAGGGGCACCTTCGGAGCAAGAGCGAGGCAGCTGGCGCGTGACGATCCCGCCACGATTTTGGTTGGGTCAGATCCTCATCCCCCACCAGAGCACCTTCATACGACACATACATCCCCCCCTGCGGACCCTCATACACCCTGATCAGACGCCATGATGCAATCTATCGCCATCCAGAAGCCCTTCGTGGCCTCCACGACCGCCACGCGGGTGACCTCTCGCAGCTCTGCTCGCACTGCCTCCACCACCGTGTGCGCCGTGCGTCGCGATAACCAGCATGCCATTGCCAAGGTGAGGTATTGAAGGATTTTATCCGGAGTCTCCTGGTCGAGAGCAGGCCTGCCAGGCATTGACTCTGGCTCGGATCATGTCGGCCCGCACCCGCCTGGATGCGTGGTCCTCAACCCGGTCCACATCCTTGCGGCGCAGGTCGGCATGGGCCTCGCTGGCCTCCTGGCCGCTGCGCAGCTCGCCACCACACCTGGTAAGCAGTGGTTGGGAGTAGAACGTGACCCTACCACGCCGGCATGTGCTTACCTGACTCTATACGGAGCCTGCACCATGTTGATTCCTGTGCCAACCGCCGAGGCCCCACCCTGTCGTTCCTCCCTCCCACAGCCCAAGCCTTCGATCTGGGACAGGCCATCAACTCCGTGGGGGGCACCGACCTGGTAGAGAAGGCTAAGGACGCCGTGGGTGGATCAGGAGGAGTCCAGGATCTGGTGCAGCAGGGCAAGGATGCTGCCCAGAACATCAACGCCCCCGACCTGAAGGACGCGGCCGGCAAGGTCGGCGAGGTGGCAGACAAGGCCTCTGACAAGGCCTCTGGTCTGGCCGACAAGATCCCCGGCGTGTCTGAGAGCAACCTGCAGAACGTCGGTGAGTGGCCATGGGATGGGATTCCTCTTCAGAGTGAGGGGCACTTCAGGATGCTGCATCATCATGGGAGTGCACACCTTGATGGGAGGATGAGCATGCATGACAGCACATAGGCATGTTTGAGGCTGGATGCTTTGCTTTTCCTGTCGGTGCATTGGCACTGATTGTGTATGTGGGTCTGCATGCCCATATGTCGGGCAATGGTCAGTGGTCTGCCTGCATGCGAACCAAAACCTTTCTTCTGTGGCCCTCTTGACCCACCCCTCCTTGCCCCTCCTTTCATCCCCCAGGATCCTCCATCAAGCAGGCCGGTAAGGAGGCCGCCAATGGCAACCTGAACGAGGTGGCCAACGACACCGTCGACACCCTGGGCTCGCGCCTGGGTGGCGGCGAGGCCAAGAAGGGCACCGGCTCCAACGCGGGCAAGGAGGTTGCCTCCAAGGCCAACGACGCGCTGAAGGAGGCCGCCAACCAGGGCGATTCCTTCTCCGGCTTCGTCGGCAAGGACACCTCCAAGGACAAGCTGGGCAAGGATGCCGCCCTGGGCGGGCAAGACCGCGGCACTGGCGGCCTGTTTGGCCTGTTTGGCAAGAAGTCTGGCGCGGCTGACCTGAAGCTGCAGGGCCAGACTGCCCTCGGGGGCGCCCAGTCCCAGGCCCGGGGCGTCGCCAACAGTGCTAAGACTGCGGTGAACGACGCAGGTGTGTGGGTGGGTGTGTCTGGGTGGGTGTGTCTGGGTGGGGCGTTTCTGTTGGGCGAGGGTGATTTTGTCTGGTGAGGAGGATTCTGCAGTCCGCTTCTGGGATGGGTTGAGGTTGAGGGAGGGGATGAATTCATCGTCCTCGGCCCCAGCAGCCGCTGGCTGTTGGTTTTGTAGCTGGATTTTGGAGCCCCATTGTAATTGAACCCCCACTTCTGTTCAGAGCTCTTGTCACACATTTCTTGCAGCAATTGCAGCACCCCTCACCCACCATGTACCCCATTCTTGCCTCCAAACAGGCACCCAGGCCAAGGGTGTGGCGGAGGAGGTGAAGAAGACGGTGGGCGGCCTGGCCAAGAAGGCCGGGGCGGTGGAGATCCCCCACCCCGAGGTGGTGAAGAGCGCCATCAAGGAGGGCAAGCGCAACCTGTCTCTGACCAACGTCAAGAGTGTGGTGGGCAAGGTGGCGGACAAGGTCTCCGACAAGGCGGATCAGGTGGCAAACAAGGCTGCCAGCATCTCCCCCAGCAAGGGTAACTTCTCAGGCGTGGCCAAGACTGCAGGTGGGCGTCTGTTTTGGAGGGGGAGAGTGGGGTAAGCACTTCATGGTCTGGTGTGGAGGGGTGTTTTGCATTGCTGGCAAGGGCTTGCTCCGTGCCGTGGTCAAATGGGTAATTGTACTCACCCAGCCCTCGTCAACAATCATCCTTGCGCAGGTGATTCTGTGAAGGATGCGGGGCGTAACGCGAAGCAGGGCTTCAAGGACGCCGCGGCGCAGGGCAAGGACGCCGTCAAGCAGGCCACCCAGGTGGGTGATGCTGTGGGGGGGCAAGGATATTGATGACATTAGGCATTCATCTTTCGTTTGGCACATTCCACCCCCCTTACATCTACAGATGACGGCCTGCAATCTGCCCGTCGATGCACCCCATAACCCTTCCTTTCACACTCCCACCCTGCAGTAGGGGGATGATGTGGCTGTCGTAGGAGAGGACACGCCTGCCAAGATTGCCGTGGAAGGCAGCAGGAAGCTGCTGCAGGAGCAGGGTTCCTTGAAGAAGCTGGGGGTCTGAGATCCCATCCACATGCTGCTGCCACTCCTTCTTCCTCTTCATTGAGAGGAATTTTGAACCTCACAGAGCGGTGTCAAGCTGTTTTTGAGAGAGGGTCTTTCTCGTGACCTCTCACTGTGTGTGGTTTCCAACCTTCTTGAAAGCGCTGATGTTGTTACCAGGCAGACTTATACATATGAAAAGGGAACTAGAGGGGGCACTGAGATCGGAGATTAAGCGCAAACATTGACAAGCCACTCGACGGGAGTGCATCAGCAGAGTGTCGCTCAGAACCACCCTGGACAGGTTAGCCAGTCGAGAACTCCAACCTGCTCAAGCAAAAAAATCACCAACTGTCAGGTTCTTCAGCAGTGCGTCGCCGCCCGTGCTCATGGAAGACACGGTGGACAGCTTGACATCCGATTGCAGGTTGGCCAGGAGGTCATGCAGCGTCTTGGAAGCAGCCCCCGGCTCCCCCAGCCGCTGCCCCATGGCATGGCTGAACTCGTCGACAACATGCAGGCCCAGCAGGCTGTCTGCGCTCTTGGCGTAGGAGCTCTGCCCTGCCACACGTGCAGGGAGGGGGGTGGATGGGACCAAGGTGAGGTGGGTTTACGTGATTCGCTCTTGTGAGGGTTGCAAAGGTCAGGAGGTCCTGGGACATGGGATGACGCCACCACAGCAGTCCCCAGCAATGTGCAGCAGTCTCGAGTGTGCCTGCTTCATCAACTCACCAAGCACGCTGCTGGTGATGCAGATGACGTTTGGGAAGGACAGGGTGGAACAGAGGGTGGCCGCCTGGCATGTGTCGATCAGGATGAGGAGGTGGGCGTACCTGAGCGAGGGGATAATGGGTGCAGGAGGGGTGACGAGGGAACGAGAGATGGGTTGTTCTGCTCCCCCTGCTCTTGTTGTATTGGTTGGAGCTAGAAAGCAGCATGCTCAAGACATGGGAATTCTGGCCAGCCAGACGCAATCATAGGGCTGCCCGGTCCTCCCAGCAGGGGCCCACCTGCCCAAGGCGTGCATGGCGCGAATGGCGGCGGCCAGGTCTGCCTCAAGAAACTCGGAGCGATCGTGCATCTTCAGGAACTGGTCGCCCCCATGACCCGTCAGGAACACCACCACATTCGATTTCCCCGTGCTGAGCAGGCGCTGGGAGGCAGGCGTCCCCGGGGGATGCACGCCTGGGGCAAAAGGGGCAGGGAGGTGCTGGAGGGCAGGGGTGGTTTGCGCCAGTGAGAACACGCGTTTGTGCGGGAGAAGCACGTATCTCCACTTGGACCCCAAGGCTTGGACCTCAGAAGTCGGCCAGGAAAGCAGGGCATCGCTTGTCGCACAGGCTCACCGCTGAGCAGCTGCAGCAGGGCTGCCTCCGACACATCCTCTCCCCGCGCGGAGATGGCCGGGTGCAGCGCCGAGACCTCACCCCCGGGCCCCGCGGCATGCAGCTGGCCATAGCGTGCATTCCGCGGATTGCAGGACAGCGGGTCGGCCAGTAGCAGCCGGATGCGGCGATCTGGCATGCCCAAACTGCGTCGTGGACGGCTGGGCTGGTCAGAAGGACTTGAGGAGGGGTTGCAGCAAGCTTACAATGCTGCTCAAGATGTGGCTCACGAGGAGAGGGCACAACCCAACACAGGGCTACCGAGCTCTAACCCCCAAACGCACCCTCGAGCCGAACGATAGACCTCCAGGGCGTTGAGGGTGTGCCTGTAATTCAACCATCCGCGAGAAGCAGACAAAATGATTGCGTGCGGTGGGTGGGCTGGCTGTCGCTTCAGGGCCCAGCATCGGCATGCAAGGCCGAGAAGAACGGCGATCACACGCGCGATCCGGCCCGAGACGTAGCTCCGCCTTGCATGAAGAAGTGGTGTGGCACGCATTCCAGGTCTTACATGCCGCGATGCACCCTGGAGCTACACGCTTTCAGGGTTTGCCGCACCCACACGTCAGGGGTACAGCATGATCATGTATGTACTACTTCCAATTGCGATTTGGGCAACGCATAAATCGCAAATGTCGTAGTTGCAATCACACTTGATCTCACGGAGGAGTGTATACTCCTCTTCATTCCCTGGATCACATACTCGTTCTGCTACAGGGAAAATCGGACGGAAACAAAAAGGTAATCATGAATATCAAGGAAAGGACGGCTTGCAATTATCTCGGTCGACATGGAAAGCCAGTCAAGTGAAGCGAAGAGCTCCCACTAATGGGCGTGTTGAATCCCTGAAAGTGGCATGTGCTCTACATCGATGGCCCGAGATGCGTGCGCGAAGGCGTGCGGCTCGCTGCACCTCCACAGGACAAAGCAGTCTGCTTCATGATGCTGTGTGGCATGGTGGGCGCTGCATAATGTACAGAATCTGACAGCCACCCACATAGGCCAATCTCATCGCCTGACACTTCTTTTGATTCCTAGAAATACTACCCAAGTGCTACTTTTGTGTGGCTCCAAGGAAGCTCATTCCTGGACCTGCGAGTCAGGTGGAACCTCCAGCCATGTCCCTAAGTTGAGGCCAGACCCAGGACGAGATGTCCAGAGCGGTCTGCTCCAGCCCCTCCCCTCCCCAAGAGGCCCTCAACCCCCTGGATGCTGATAGAGATTCAGAGGATGAGCTTCTCAGCTCCACCCCCCCCCTCCTCAGGAGGCACCGCCATATCATCGTCAGATACTGACACAGCGCCTGGGGATGAGCTCACCAGCTCCTGGGGCCCCTCCTCAGACGGCGCCGCTGAATCAGGCTCAGAACCTGACATGGAATCAGAGTCTGAGCTCTTCGGCACCTCATCTCCTGCTCCAGGCGGCTCTGCCAGGTCGGCAGAGGCCACTCCAGCAGGCACTCAGGCCTGTCCCTCCCTGGCGGCTGCAGGACCTAACGACGAGGTGGCTGCTGCTGCGCTGCTCACCATGCACGCGTCGGCGAGCACCGCCTCGCCGCACCCTCCCTCCTCCGAGGTCTCCAGGGAAGCGCGGCATGCCACCTGGATGGCGCATGAGATGAAGGGTCGACCCCTCGGCTACGCCATGGTTTCTCGCCACACCATCAGGCAGGGGGTCAGACTGGCTTTGAGGCGCCCAGGTGAGACGACTGCGGGGGCGAGGGGGAGGTGGACATCCAGAACAGCGGGGGCTCATCCATGCAGTCGCTCGCGGTCGCCCTCCTTGCCGAGTGAAACGCCCCGGCGCCCACTCCTCCCTCTGTGCTGCCGGCAGTCGACATCGGCGCGGCCCTGCTCGGCTTGGACTGGACTCGTAGCGTGGCAGCCCTGCCCGACAGCCTGCCCTCCAAATCACGGGAAGCGGGTGAGTCATTTTGTGAGGCGGCGGGTAGCAGCGGACTGCATGTCCACGCCCGGGAGGACCCTGTGCTGCGCCCCCCCCCCCCCTTTCCTTCTCTCTCTCTTGATTTGCACTTCTCAAA